TATATATATATATATATTTGAGACAGGGTCTTGCAATACAATTCAGGCTGGCCCTGAACTCACTATGCAGCCCAGGCTGGCCTTGAACTGGAAGGGACCCTCCTGCCTCAGCCTTCCTGAGTGCTGGGATTCCAGGCATGTGCTGCCATGCCCAGCTAGCAGAAAATAACAAGGGAAACCTGGAAAGGAAAGTAAGCTTCAAAGCTGAGATTTAATGAAAGATAACTCCTTACGACTGTGTCTACACAATCCAGACATGAATAACTAGAACACTAAGAGGAACTGGTGTTTTCAGAGCTGGCCTTGATTGAAAAATCAACAAGGAAATGTGAGTTAGCAGCCAATTTGAAGTCCTCTGGCCAGTGTTCATAGTCAGAAATTAGCATGGTCATGAATTCAGGACATATAGCTGTTTTTCACTGCACATTCCTTCCATTACAGAAACATTAGAAACTTCTCAAAAGTAAGTCTGGCACCAGAGATCCCACAGTGAATTCCCTGAATTGAGTAATGTGCAGTGAGCCTAATGTGGAATGTGAATGCTGGGAATCGCTGTGTATGCGCTCTCCTTTTGCTCAGGCTGTACTCAGTCTGGTTTTGCCTCTTTCAGATGCTCCTCAATTCTCTCTCTTCCTCAGAGCTTCTTAAAGCCAAGCTTTCTCTAAGCCTAGAACAGCTTCTTCCACTTCACTTTTTCTTCTTTGTCCTCAATGCCAACTTCAAAGTCTCTTTTGTGCTCAGGGTTTAGAGCAAATAACTCTTAATGAAATTATGTGGGAAAGTATTAAGACCTAGCTCAGAATCTGGCTCCTCAGAGATGATTCCGTGTTTGTTGCATGAATGAGTAAAAATGTGATCCTCCTACTCAGTGGAGGCAGTGGGCACAGAAGGACATGCACTAGAATGGAGGAAGTAGAGGTAAAGTTGTTGGAGACAGCTGTGCTCTTTATCTTTAAGCTCAGAATTCATTTACCTATGTGAAAATACTATGACCAATGAAGGTAGTGAAAATAGCAGTCTTAATAAGACGCTCCAGGTCTCTACTTTAGGCACATAATGAATGAGACTGGCTTGCAGGCTGGCATGACTACTCTTCAGATCTCATACTATTTTAGGAAAGCACATTCTTTACTTTCAGACCGCAATGCATTTATCAGTTTAAAGATTATAAAAAATTAAAACAATTAAAAAGTATTCAAAGGGGTTGGGGAGATAGCTCAGTAGAATAAGCGCCTGCCTGGCAAGAGCCTGAGTTCAATCCCCAGTACCACAAAAAAAAAAAAAAAGTATTTGAGCAATATAAATGAGAAATAGTAAATAAATCAATTACCTGTACTTTCTCCTGAAGTGCATTATAAACCTGATAGATTGCCCTGATGTCTTTCATTACTCCATCCTTGTCAAAAAAGTCAGTACTAAAAGACAGACAATGTCACAAAGTTATTAAAAATACTATGACCCAAAAGGCATTCTACCTTAATCTGTTAACTAATTGTGACTCCAAGGTGAAAATGTCCAAGCACTAACATGCCCACCCTACGAAAACTATAAAGGAGAAATGAAAAAGAGCCAATGTCACAAAGGAAACTTAAGCCACAATTAAAAAGCCATACATTTTTCACTGACTACATTCACCTTTAAGACCTGAGAAATATGCGCACTCTATCCAAACGTTTGTATCAATTATTAAAAGAATACCAGGGCACATCATAAATAGTAAAAGTAAATTATCTTTTGAATAAAAATAAAATTTTGATACATGGTGGTAGTGCTCTAGAGAACTACTTTTCTGCATTCTTCAATTTCAGTAATAATAAACTTGATTTTATAATTCTCTATGCATTTAAAAATACTTTGATAAAAAGAGGTGGGATTTCACCTCTCATTTTGCCTTTTTACTTACCCATGTTCTTTAATAACTTTGGCATAACTCTGAGAAGTATTTGGCACTGAAGACACTTTGTACTCTTGTTGGCTAGTATTGCCTAGATTGGGGATAGTAAGTGATATCCTTTGATTATACCTATTGAACAAATTGAGAAACAGATCAAGTTAAAAGTACCACTCTTAGGGCTGGGGAGATAGCTCAGTAGAGTAAATGCTTGCCTGGCAAGCCCAGGGTCCTGAGTTCAATCACTGGTACCACACACACACACACACGCAAAAAGTACCACTGTTTTGTTTTGTTTTGTTTTGTTTTGTTTTGTTTTGTTTTGTTTTGTACAAGACAGAGTCTCACTATTAACAAAGCTGATCTCAAACTTATGGGCTCAATACTTCTATGCAGAGGTTTTAAAAGCACCATTTTAAGACGGGGGCTTGAAGCCAAATGCTAAAATGAGAAGTACATGCCACCATGCTTGGCTTTCCAGGTGTCATTTTAAGAATGTGGCTTGAAGGCTGGGCATGATGGTACACACCTGTAATCTCAGCACGTAGGAAGCCGACACAGGCTGAGGCAGGAGGATCACTGCAAGTTTGCGGACAGTCTGGGCTTCAAAATGAGTTCAAGGCTAGCCTGAACTCTGCATAGTGAGACCCTATCTCAAAAAGACAAGACAAAATAGGGGAGGTCCGTGAAGCTGGGAACAGTGGGGAACACTTAGTCTGACATGGGTGAACTAGCTGAAGGTGTCATTTTGTACCTAACTCTTCAGGCAACTCACAGTTGCACAAATTAGCAATTTTTCCTCTTTAAATAGACTTGGTTACAAGTCCTTAAGGACAGAGGTCATACACATCTTTTGCATCCTCCATAGCAACAGACAAGTACTAAAAATACCTATTAAGTAATTAATAAAACCTTGCAAAGTTATACAATAATTATGAACTTTTTCATCGATACGGAGTTAGTATTTTCTTATAGAAGTGAGTTCCCAGAGGGAAAGCTTTCTACTGTTTACAAGCAGATAACATCAGCACATAAGCATATCTTTCACTTAAACAAGTTTACAATGCAAAACCTTCACTAACCAGTAGGTGGATTAATTTGCAATTGTCTTTACAATCTATGCTCTAAAACTACAATCAGACTCCCAAAGCAATAAATAGCATTTCTACATAATGGAGACATAATAACAACTTACACTATTATCAATTTATGGGTAATATACATGTCTTACTAATCCTATTGATCCAAAAACCCTTTTCATTTATACAAAAAACTGATAAAGAAAATACATTCTATATGGGGGTCAGCCAGACAGCTCAGCAGATTAAAGCACCCGCTTAGGCAGATGCACTGACCAGGGTTTGATCCCATGTGCCATGCCAGTCCCGTGCCCAGGACGCGCTGAGCGGGTGACTGAGACTGGGTGTGGTGGCTGGTCTGCACCTGTAATCCTAGCACTTGGGAGGCTGAAACAGGAGGATTACTATGATTCCCATCTGTGTAGAGACTTTGTACTAAATACATAAAAAAAAGAAAGAAAATACATTCTATGACCACAAAGAGAACTAGCTAAAGAGAATAAAACCTTTCCTCCCAGGTGCAGTAAAATGTGCTATAATGCACACGTTCAAGGTGATGACTCAATTACATGTGCCAATGTCTTTCACTTTCAGTGAGGCTGACAGGAAAGTTTTCTTTACCTGCGATTTGGTCTAAAGAGAACATATTCTAAAGCATGAGTGGAATTGTTGGCAGTGGAGATGAAGCTGAAGAGAAGGAAGACGAGGTCGGG